TGGCCTATGACTATGTGAGCCTTGGCTACCACGCCGACCGGCTTAACGCTAGTGACCTATGACTATATGAGCCTTGGCTACCACGCCGACCGGTTTAACGCTAGTGGCCTATGACTATGTGAGCCTTGGCTACCACGCCAACAGGCTTAACAATAGTGGGCTATGACTATGTGAGCCTGGGCTACCGCGCTGACCGGCTTAACTCTTAATTCAATGCGCACTATGTGTAATGTTTAATTAACAAAATGGATATACGTTGTAATCCGATAGATAAGACCCCAGCACCCACCTGAGCAAATATCATAATTTAGTCATTTGATAACTGCTGTTACTTTCTCCACTTCATCAGTCCCAGCGGCAGCGTAACAGCTTGTTAAATCATGTTCGTGCAATGATGAGACGGACAAAGTTAGCCGAATGCATGCCATTTTACTCTCTCGACAATAAAAGTTGTCAAAGTTACAGTGCACAAAAACCACTGGGTGGACTGACCTGAATGAACTAAAAAAAGCATTACACAGCACAGCGAGGGCACACGTCGCACGAGCACATTTCTCCAAACTACACTACCCATAATGCCTTTCACTCGGAATTAACTGTTACAGCTCTAGATAGAGATCTTCAGCATCTCCCGCAACACTGTCATTGATATGACTGCAATAAGCGCGTGCTTCTGACGCTGCGTGCAGCTGAAACCAACCAGCTTAGAAATAACGAACGTGAACACTGGGATAATCGCCGATGTATATGGCGAACCCCAGTTGAAATGCATACACAAGAATGTGTATGCTTATTTCATTTAACCTGTTTCATGTCCGTTACTATCGGCGTGTCCTCAGAGCGATTACATATGCTCTAAACTGCGTTTTGCTTCAGCTGTATAAACACAGATGCTAAATGCTGCTGCTAATATGCTTAATATTCGCTCCTGCATACAATGCAAACTGCTAACATGATACTTAGTTTAAACTTGATTATGGTTGCTCTTTTTTTTGATTCAATTAGGCAGACCACGCAATACACACAGTGATATGGATTAGAAGAGCATTCACTTATCTTAGATGTTGATTTCGCTGTTCTGAAGCAAGCTGCACTGCTATGGCAAGTCCTAGTCATATATTTGAATGTTGAGCTCATTGGCTACGATACAGGAGAGAACCAATCAGCTGAGCCATGTGATAATGATGTCATTAGGTCAGATTGAGTTAGACCTATCGGACTGCGCCATCTAGAGTTTCATGCCAGAACTCTGTATTTGCCTGCTTAAATTGAAATGTGTATATATATCTTCATGACTAGATAGACACGGTGAGTTTGTCTTTACTATACACATTAGATGTGAGTCACTCAACCGGTAACGTTAATCCTGTCAGATCGTCCAAGCTTTGAGTGAGCGTGTACGGGTCAGCCGATCTGGTTTCGTCTTTTAAAGTTAACCTTTTCAAATAATAATCGCAGTCCCGGACAGTGAGTGACCTTACATATGCAGGTAAAATCAGGTTTTCTCCAGTCTTTGTTAAAAAAAACAAGCTAACACACTTCATAGCTAGCGTTAGTGAAGCGGTCAGGGGAATCTTTCTGCCTCCACCTAAGCTCCCGCCCACAGAAAAACGTCACAATGTTTACTGACAGAAAAAGGGTCTATAGCGTCTCAGTTCAAGCGGCACGTGAACTGATCATCTCTTCCTCTTTACTAGTTATAGCACCAAATAAACATGAATGAACATCAATATAAAGGAATATTCCTATATTTACCTATTATAGAATGTCATATGGGAGTTGATTTGTTTCATTTTTGCTTTGCTTTTAGTTTTTATTTCAATATTTAGCAATACATAAAAAAAAATAAAAGTTGTATCTGTTAATATGATTTAATGAACCTGAGCCAACATGAACTAACAATGAACATTTGTAATTTTGTTAACAAAGTTGTTGCGTTGCATTTTTGCTTTTGCTTTGGCTTTGCTTTGTATGTTTTGTTTTATATTTTTTGATTTGTTTTGAATTGAACAAGGACAGTACATACATAGAACACACTGAACACAGTGAATTCGAACCTGCAGCCCTCATTTGAGCACCAAGGAGCTGTCTGGACTATGTGCACTGATCACTAGGCCTTTTCTCTAAGGAAATTTCTTCTCAGATTTAGAGGTATGACAGTTTGGTTTCTTTGATGCAAGTCGGAGAAAAAATTGAACTCTGAGAAAATCAAAAGTGTTTGATAAGAGTTTCGTCTGGTGGCTTTGTAATATAAGTGGAACCCTTTTCTTCCATTATCTGAGTCTTTGTACTCCTACTCTGTCATGTGAAATAATGTCAGACTCCACCAGAACTCATTGTCTCAGATCTCATCAAAACAGAGCCTAGTTCAGACCCAGCCAGACTAAAGTGGCTTGTTTCTGGAAGCTCTTGTCCCCCGGAGGCTACAGGGATCATTACCACTGAGTCATGGAGGTGGTGAAGATGTGCGGACAGATAGCACCTCCTCACTGGGAAGGGTATTAATAGACCCTCTCTGACCATGAAGCGCACTAATGCTGGCTGAGCCGCTGAAAGCTGATGACATTTTTACAAAAATCCTCTGTCGGATAGACGCATGAATGGAGTGACAAATGCGTATTAGCAGCCTGATTTCATACATTTGTAAAATACTCACTCTGCATACACAGACACAGAAATGTGGATCAGTAGAGGTCGAACATTATGGGTTTTTAGTGGCTGATGCCAATATCTATAAAGCAGGGTGGCAGATGGCTGATTTGATGCTGATATTTATAATGACAATTTTAGAATTTTAAAAAGAGAGGCAACCAAGAGGCCAAAATGTGCATTTGGGGACCAAATTTGAATTGAAATGAATATAAGAGCTAATACTAATTGCTTTCTTTTTTAAGCAAGTCAAGATGAACAATTTTAAGTAAACAATTTTAAGTTACAAAAAATTTTCATAGGCCCATTTCCAAATCTACAATTAATACAATTATTCTAAAAGGTTTGTATTCATATGCATATATATATAATATTTCTGTTTGTTTTTACAATATATATATATATATATATATACAGTATATATATATATTTTTTTTTTATATATATTTAAAAAAAATTTTTTACAATATATACAATGGACAATCCACAATGGACCAAGCTCTTATATGTTTTGTTCTGCTTTTATGGCCTTGGCTGCCTTCAGAAATTTGAAGAAGTGATTGAAATTATGTGTTAATGAGTCACAGGTCTGTCCAGCCACTGATGAAATACTGCAACAGCTGTAGAAATTAGTGCAGGTGCTTTGCTGTGTTGCATCAGAAGTATTGTAGTAGTCTAGTTTTGGACTTGAATCTGGATGCCCTTAATAAAGTTTTAGCGTTTTTTTTTAGATTTAAAGAACTTAGTTAAGTATTTAAACTATTTGCAATT